TTTTTCAATTGCCACCTGTTAAATAAGAATGTTAAGGTAATTAGACACTTAAAAGCATATTTTAAATGCTCAAAGTCTTAAATATATGTTATAATGGAAAATGAATGTAATGTTAGTAACATTAAATTTGAAGACATTGTTTAAGGAATAAAACTAAAGAGTTTTTATTGAAAATATATCTATTCATTTTTTGTGTAACTTAAGTATAATTTTAAATGAAAAATTGATAATGAGATATAAAATTTAAATATAAATATTATATTTAGACTTTTATTAGTTTCACTTTAAATATATATATATATATATATATATGTATATTATAATATAATATTTATATATTATTTAATTGCAATAATTATTTTATTAATATCAATTTAATTACAATTTAATCACCACTAAATCATTGAATTTTGATGAATCCAATTTTAAAAACATAACAAAATTGAAATGGGAATTTCTGGATAAAGAATTATAATTTTCAGACATAAAAGTTATAAAATATAATATTTACGTCGATTAATTAGGAGTATCTAGGAAATTAAGCTTCTAATTTAGTGGGAAATTTATTTATGAGTGAATTAAAGTTTAATTCGTCAGGATGGAGGCAACTATTAATTGCATTAGTAATAGAAATGATAACCTGACAGGCTGACACCATTTACACACCTCATCAACTTCAAACATCATCCTTGTTTGTAATTCCATGATTTCTCTGTACACATAACTTTGATTGAGCTTAATTTTCATAACTTTAATTAAGTTCTTTATTCCAAGTGTGAATTTAAATAACAAAAAGAGTATTAATCGGTAGTATCGAATTTATATGATAAGGGTTGATTGACTTGCCATAGCTGTCATCAGGTAACAATAATTGATAAGAATTTCAATCTTGCAGGACAGACAAGTGTCTCGTTACGAATAACACAGAAGGAGCAGACAATATTTACGTACGGATATTTTTTGATGATAATGATTATGACTCACGGAACGTTAGTTTTCACTGGATGTGATGGACTACTGTTTGTGACATTTATTGACAAATGACAATGTTGCTATCAACAGATACAAAAGTGTGTTTTTATTAAGAATTAAATATATTTTTAATTTCTTAAATTTAAGATAAATTTATTTTTAATTTCTTAAATTTAAAATTATTATTTTTAATTTTTATAATTTTAAAAAAACTTATTTTAATTTTTATTTCAAGTTTTGTTAAGAAATTTATTAAATATTATTACATAAAATCTACCTATTTTTATTTTTATTAATAAAAATATGACATTAAATTCAGTTAATATTGTATAATTGTCTTAATTAGTCACTTTTAAATATATTATTATTGACCTAAAAAATTAAAATAAGATTTTTAAAAGTTACAGAGACTAAAAATAACAATTTTAAATTTAAAAAACTAAAAATAAATTTATCTTAAATTTAAGGGACTAAAAATATATTTAAGCTTTTAATTTATCAAAGAAAAAAGATACATCCTCGAAAGAGAGTTCTGAAAATTATTCCAAACAAATAAAATATTAATTTAAATTATAAAATATTAAATTAAATAAATATTTTATAATAAATTAATTAAATAATAATAATATTTTAACATTTGATTGGGACGTTCTTTTCGGAAGATGAAACACTGCTGATACCAAAATTGTGGACAAAGGGGGAAGGTAACTTTCATAGTTTGATTTGCCAATTTTTGTAGACAATCACGTTGTTGAAAGCGATAAATCAAGACAAGGTATTGGCACGTAACATAATCATTGAGAATTGTAGACAGCTGTTACTTAGAAAACACAAGGATTTAATGATTTGCAGCTAAGATCGGTCTATTTTGTGGATCCGTCTATTAGTGATATATATTTTTGTTATTTTTATAAAATTATTTTAAATTTGTTTTAAATCTAAGTTTTCATTTATGATTTTGTTTTTATTATTATTTAAAAGATTTTTTAATCATTAAAATATATGTGTATTTTATATATTGTATTTTATTATTGTGAAATCTTATTTGTATCTTAACAAAGTTTGATAATAATTTGTGTGTGTGTTTTTTTTTTAAACTCCAAGCGTGTGGTTCAGCGGTAGGGGTTGATCCACGCTTAAGCAATGTCAGGGGTTCGAATCATGTCTTGTGTATGCAGCCGCGTTAAATCTTGGGGTCAGCTATCCCCACCCTTTGAGGTGCCTCCAACGTAGCTGGATACTCCAGGGACGAACCAAAAAAAAAAATTGTGTGTTTTTCACCTTTTCTTCTTTAAACATGTTGTAGTTACTTTATTATTTATTTTTAAAGTAAATGTTTTTTTATTAATTAAATGATCCATTTTTCCTTTTTCTCTTTATATATATATATCATTTATTATAAAATGGATATCTTATTTTTATATATACAATTTTTGAATTATTTTATTTTTAAAATTTTAAATAATAAAAAATAATATTAAAAATCAATTCAACCTAAAACTTTAATCCAAGACTTTAAAGTTTAAATACCAGTACAATTAATTAATTCAATAAATATTAATAATTTTAAATATTTTAAATAAATAAATATAAAATATTTCAATTCTACTAGTATATATACTTATATATATATATATATACCTATTATAAAGAAGATACTAGGGTATATAGTCGTTTTTTATCCTTATTCTTTGTTGGATCATTATCAATTGTAAAAAAAAAATCTTATATCATTTTTGAATAATTACATGCAACTTTCTAATATTCTATCTATGTATAATTATCAAAAGCATCGTTTTATTTGGTGTATATATTTTTTAAATAATTTTATTCTTACATTTTTAAATAATAAAAATAATATTAAAAATTAATCATTTTTATAGAGATAAGACTCACACTCAATATCTTGCATCAATTGATCTATCAAATATTAGTAATTTTTAAATATTTTTATTAAATAAAATATAAAAACATAAAATACATTGACTCATTATTATATATATATATACATATATATATATATA